TGATGGCCATGAGTGCCGACTACGTCTACCAGAGGACGCAGATGGACGTGGTAAGAACGACCGTCACCCGCTGCACAGCCGAGGGTTGTCTGACCGCTCCCGAAGACCGTAGCTTCAATCACAATGCGATCTGCGGGTCCTGCATGGCCGCACCAAATAATTATGGATACATACCAGTAAAACGCCTTTTGGGCGAAGAACGAGCGAGCGAGATAGTGAGCCCTGCACGTGCGCAAGGGCGAGAGGGTACTTCCAACGGGCTTGTGCAAAGTACCCTTCTAACCGGTCGCTAGCGGTGTGCCAAATTTGAACGCAATCGGCCCAGCCGTTCCTGAGATCTAGAAGCGGCATTCTGCACGTGCGCACGTGCAAGCGGGGTCCAAACTGACTTTTGCACGGCACCCTACTAACTGGTCCCCAACCGTGTACCAAATTTGAGCGCAATCGGCCCAGCCGTTCTCGAGATCTGGGATCGCCCCCTGCACGTGCGCACGTGCTGTAGCACCCCAACCTTAACACATGCAGATGAATTATCTGATGGAGACCTAACTGTGTACCGAGTTTCAATTCAATCGGCCCAACCGTTGTGCCGTTATTGAGGTTGCAATTTTGGGGGTTCTTAAAAAATGTCCAACCGTGTACCAAATTTACCACGCGCCACGTGCGGTGGTTGGCAAGAACGCATGGTGGCCATCACACCACAGAACTTTTACGTCCAAGTGACATTCAGTAAAGAAGACCGCTTGTCAATCGGATGTCCCGGTCCTAAGATATTAGCTTTTGAAGAGCGTCCCCACGGCCGTCCCCGTCCGGCCGGCCGGCCGCTCATACTCAGGATTTTCCCTTAATTCAGTATGAACTCGCTCGCTCGCTGCGCTCGCTCGCTCGTAATTACATACCCGTAGACAATGCACCGCCCTCGCCTTATAGTTTTAGTCTGTGTCGCTGATAGTCCTGCATATTTTGCCCGATTGTGTGCCTCTAACGCCCCGGCCCGGTCCGCTCGCGCCAGGCGTTCCAGCGCGGCCGGCGGCCGCCCTCGCGGCCCGAGTTCTGCCGCTCGTCGCTCGACCAGCACATGCCCGAGGCGGTCGGCATGCTCTTCGTCAAGGACCACATCGGCCTGGAGACGCTGCACCAGACGGCCAACTTCACCGGGCGCCTGGTGGCCGCCTTCAGCGACAGCCTGCGGCCCTGGATGACCGAGGCCGTGCGACGCCGGGCCGACGGCATCCTCGGCAACACCAGCTTCCACTACGGCTTCCCCAAGTGGATCATGGACGAGCGCGAGCTGGACAGCTACTTCGAGCCGCTCGGCATCGCTGAGGGAGACTTCTTCAGGAACATGAAGAACATGGACCTGTTTAAGCGGATTCAGCTGAGGAACAAGCTCAAGTACGGCAACAACAAGCAGCGCTGGACCATCGAGGCCACGCAGTGAGTGCGGACAGGGCGGGACGGGGACCGGACACCTCTGGTGGCACCGACGGTCCGACCCCGGTCTGAGCAGGGTCCCGGGGTGAATTTCATGAGCCTGGGTTAAAACTTGCGTGATCAGTTTGTGCTTGCAGCTGTTGCTTGAATCCAGTTCATTTCAGTTTGCCCCCATTTCACTGTGGCATGTTTTGTAATTGACCCGGTGGCCCTGTGTTTCGGGCGATATTACAAACTGTGTCGATGACGATGTGTGTGCTCCGCTGATGGTCCTTTTCTCCCCCGGCAGCGCGCGGATCCTGAGCTCGCTGTCTGGCGGCTTTCTGGCGGTGCCGGCCGGCATGATGCAGACGCCTATCTTCTCGCCAAGCGTGCCCAGCTACATCAACACGGCAGCGCTGGGCTCGTTGGTGGCCGAACACCTGGCAGCCTTCACCGTCACAAACAACGGTAACGGGGCCTTAATGGTTATCGACCACGCTGCTGTGATTTCCCAGTGACATGCCTCGCTGACACATAACACAGGTTTTGGTTACGACCTGACATGGCCTAAGGTCGTGAGTATCGAATCTTCATGGTTGCGACATTGCAATGGTTTGCTGAGTCGGAACTCGAAACCATGATCGGCCCTAACGTAAGAAGGTTCAAATTGTCCGGGTATGGGGCCCGGCGCTGTCAGTCACCGGCCGCCCGCGTCCCGTCGCCGACAGATTCTACCACTATGGACAGCGTCTGGTGGGATGGCGCCACGTACCGCCGGTACGAGCCGTACCGCAGCTGTGTACTCGACCTGTACCGCAACCACACCGTGCGGCCCGCCATCACCTACATGAACGCCGGGGAGGTGAGAAGAGGGAGGGATAGAGGGACGGAGGGATGGGACACCAGCGTGCGGCCCGAGATCGGCTACATGCCGGAAAAAGGGGGAGGGAGGGAAAGAGGGAAATGGATATATGGGTATATATTCATTCCTTGGTCTGACTGGGAATGACACACCACGTCCCCGACGGCGGCCTGTCTGTCCCGGAGTGATATAACCGCACCCTGATCGCGCCTCCTCTCCATCTGTCCGGTAGATCCCTCTGCGTCCCGAGCGGCAGGCCTCGGTGCTCGTCAGTCGCCACTACGCGCTCTCGGTGGCGTTCGAGCACCACCGGCGACTGCTGGAGGAGAGCGGCGGGGCCGTCCGGCTGCCCGGACTGCGGCACGAGACCAGCGACCAGACCTTCTTCCTCGCCTTTGCGCAGGTGAGTAGCGTCTCGCCATCCAAGCCCTTGTGGTCAGGATGCTTGTTGCTCAAGGCGCCAGTGAACCAGTCAACAGCATCGGTGAAAATAGATAAATACTCTGGAGGACAGGCGAGTCACGCGGCACTAGAGTTCAAATTTCTGGAACCTGCTACTGTACAACATGCAAGACTTGGAACTTGGACCTTGCCGTATACCCGCGCGGCCACTGATCACCAGCTGTGTTGTTCCCCAGGCGCGCTGCGTTGGTAAAAGGTCGGACACCACCGACTACCTGCTGTACCGGCTGGCCGGCATCGTCCCCGCTCAGATCGAGTGAGTACCATACGAGTGATACGACCCCCATCGTCCCCGCTCAGATCGAGTGAGTACCCAACTACATGAGTCATGATCCCTATCGTCCCCGCTCAGATCGAGTGAGTACTTAACTAATTCGGCCCGCATTGTCCCCGCTCAGATCGAGTGAGGACCTATCTATAAGACCGACATGGGCGCACTGCATGGCGTGCTCCATCGGTGAAATGGAGTTTTGTAGACAGTACACTGGTTGACCGCTGATCGGTGACTTTTGCCTGCTGACCTCAGGTCTGACCACTGTTCCGTGCGCCGCAGGGTGAACACGGCCGTCTACAACCAGGCCTCCTTCCGCTCGGCGTTCCAGTGCGGCGCGCTGCCGGGCACCTACGACCACCAGCAGTGCGCCATCCCGTCCATCGAGGAGGCCACCTTCCGACCGCCGGCGAGCGCGCTGCAGCCGCCGCACCCCGCCGCCGGCCGCCGCTAGGGGCCAGTGGCCGCCCCGCGAGACCGGGGATAACCAACACAGGGGCCAGTAGCCCGCACCGAGGACCAGTGCCCCCCCCCCCCCCCGCCGGACTGGGGGCACAGCGGCGCCCAGTCAGTGACCATGTGATGATCCGATGTCCGTCCCAAACGGCTGTATTTGTAAGGGGCCTGTGACGCTCAGCGTCTTTTCAGTATGTGTCAGAGATGCGCCGTCCGCGGGACCAGGCAGCTATACTGTCAGCTTTTGATAAATGCGTATTAGCTTATCTGACGTAAGCACGAGGGACGTCATGTTTACGTCATGACGTAATGTCTCACACCCCTTCCCACCGATCACGGGCATTTGTGCCATCATAGTGTGTCCCGCTCTGAGCGCACAGCAATCTGATTGCCAGTCGTTCGCGTGTGTAAAAAAACGGTTAGGGTAGATTATATGAATGACTTGAAGGGCATAATTGTTCGGCTCGGGCTGCTGCACCGAGGAAAAGTGTATGAGGGATTCATATTCGCCCGTCCGTTGGACATGTTTTCTTGTATATTCGAATGCTAAACATATACTATACACCAGTCTGTTGTTACTTTTCACGCCGAGTCCGGATATGTTTCACAGGACATCGAATAAGCTGTAGTTGCGTCGTGGACAGGTTAAACCGGTGCCAGCGACTGTGTGCTGCACTCTCAGAGTCTCACAAACACGGCCCATGCAGCGATATAACTGACGCCAGGTCGGGGCTACTGAAATTGGTAATACTACCTGTTGTTTAGTGACGTCATAACTGCGTCACGGTGACGGTGCGGGCGGCAGTGATGGTTGGGTGTGGGCCGGGGCCCATTTCCTGGCGCCACAACACTGACTGTGTAAGCTCACACTGCCAGCTACCGACATACCCTTCATTTCCGACATAAGATCCGCTGTTTAAACGGTAAGTGTGTGTCATGCTTTTAAACTCACGGACCATGGGTAAATAATATCTATTGAGGCATAAAAGAATATGCAATAAGTGACTGGTAAAAATGTAAATGAACAAAAACAGCATATTATGGTTTTGTGCACTTCCACGCCCCACGGATGGATGGATAGCACAAGTAAATGATCACAGTTTATCTAAAAGCAGTGATAAACACCACAAGGTTGCACGGGAACCATCACAGCGAGATGGAACACTGCGCCACAAATAACTACCGAGTATATTGCGGCGGCGCGGCGGGCCAGATCATCCCTGCCGGCGACAGCAGCGCGTGAAAATAACTGAGATGACACAACACAGGACAGTGCACATACAGTCACAGACACACGCTAATACCTTCATATATGGCTTGTGGTATACAGTCAGGTCATGGTCGGCGATAAAGGCCGGCTGTTTGTAATGCGCGTCACGGTGTGTAGCAACTGCCGACCCCCCCCCCCCCCCCAGATAGCTGGTGGTCGGCTGCGCGGAACGGCTGCGGGCGGCGCCGCCCCGCCCCGCCCCGTCCCCCACCCAGCCCTGTGTGCCGGTAGTTTGAGCGACCCCCCCCCCCCCCCCCCCCCAGCGAGCTGCAGCAGCCCTCACCCGCGACAAAGGCGTCCGGCGTATGGAAGCATTCAGCGGAGACTGCGCCCGGCGCGAGGCCGGCCGGTGCGGCGGCCACCGCGGCTCGCAGTCATCACAGCCAACGCCCGACCCGCGGCCGGGCCGGACCGACTCCCCGCCCGCGACTCTACGCCGCCAGTTGTCACAGAATCAACAGACAGACGAGATTCGGCCGCTAGGTCCCAATGATTTCCGACGGCAAACCTACTATGGAACGTTTAGACTCTCCTTCAGAGCACGAATCCGCCGCCGGGTCAAGGCAAAGGGACCCGTTACCGGTTTAGCCCTCGGTCCCTCTGCCCCCTCAGTAACGCCTAAAGCTCACCCATCCGACTATTACAGGTACCGTCCAAGACATTTCACCACAGCCCCCCGCCTGATGTTTCACTCCAAGCAGGAGATTACAACCCGCAGTGTCCAGTGTCCACACCCGCAGCAGTCGTCACCGCACGGGCCGTGCCGACCGGCGCGCCGCCAACACACCCGGTCGGCGGGACTGACCTGACCTGACCTCCGGGCCGCGGAGACCGGCTCACAGTCCGGTGTAGCGGGGCCGCGCCGGGCCGGCCGCCGGCGCCGCCGACCGGCTGAACATACTCAGCCGTCCGCCGGCCGCCGCGCCGCCCTGCTCGCCGGCGGCGCCGCTGCGGCCGAAGAACGGCTCCTCGGCGACCAGCGCGGCGCGGCAGGGCGCGCGCGCCAGCTCGGCCCGGCCGGCGAGCAGCGCGCGCGTCACACAGCGCAGGAACTCCTGCAGCTTCCGGCGGCGCTCCTCGACCAGCCGACCGTCCTGCCGAGTGGCGGGGCAAGGAACCGTCAGTCAGAGTACACGGGTCCGTCGTATCACACAGCAGGTCGGTATACGGCTATTAGATTAAACAAGAGACAAGAGCGACTGTCAAAGCAAACAGCCCACGGACGAAAGTACAGTTACTACACATAAAATCGGAAGCGCACGGCTTTTTTGTAGCGTTTCGGTGAAGCAACGACTTAAATTGCTTTAAAAAAAAAAACACGTTAAAGGCAGAACAATATAACCAATCATCAGCAAACGCAAAAAAACCGCAAGGTTTTATCAGAATGCTTAACAAGAGTCCCAACTCATCCAGGAGCTGATAACTGCAGATATGCGGTCAAACGTTATAAATTCCCGACAGCAAAACAGAATTTGTTGTGAAGGAAAGTTGCTACTACAACATACCTTTTTGTTTAACGTTTTCTTCGGCGGAAAATCGAATTGTCTCACTTCACTGAATTCCTTCTTCAATTTGTTGTATAAAAGGTAAAAACTGGAATATCTGTGATATACATTCCACTCTTCATCACGTATCCGAATATAAACCTGTAATGGTCGACGAGTGGTTAGTGGAACACCAAGGGAAAAGTGATGATGGTTTGGGTTTAAACGCCTCGGCGACGAAGGCCATTTGGCGTCCATCACTTCATGTTCAGTATAAGAACAAGTAAAAATAGTCGACAGTAAGAAAACCAGTAAAATTTATGCGGAAGGGAAAAAAGATCAGGCCTCGGGGGAATAGAGCTCAGAGCCACGTGAGCAACTTCGGTAACGTCAGTCTCCAGAGTGCACAGACGGAAGCAACACAAAAAATAGCAATAATAAAAAGAAAAGTTCAGGTGTAAAGCGATGCGTTGCGAAGGCCCATGCGTCTGATCTGATGAAGCCGAGCTTTTCGGACCGGTACACCCAGCAATCATCATCAACGTAAATCCTAATCAATCCAGACTCCAAAGCACTAACCCGATAATGGATCGGATCGGGCTACCTCAACAACAGACTACTAGATTTACCGTTCAGGCATAAAGAGGTCTACTTCCCCGCTGAAGCCAACATATGAGGGAGACCCGCCCGACCCACGGCCGGCCCGATCCCCTACCTCACCTGGTACGGTAGCTGACGTGGTGAGCGCAGTCACTCTCTGCCCCCACCTCACCTGGTAGACGTGGTGGGCGCCCCCTGCCTCACCTGGTAGACGTGGTGAGTCGCGCCCCTACCTCACCTGGTAGACGTGGTGAGTCGCGCCCCTACCTCACCTGGTAGACGTGGTGGGCGCCCCCTGCCTCACCTGGTAGACGTGGTGAGTCGCGCCCCTACCTCACCTGGTAGACGTGGTGAGCGCCCCTACCTCACCTGGTAGACGTGGTGAGTCGCGCCCCTACCTCACCTGGTAGACGTGATGAGCGCCCCCTGCCTCACCTGGTAGACGTGGTAAGCGCCGTCCCATTGTACCCCTACCTCACCTGGTAGACGTGGTGAGCGCCCCTACCTCACCTGGTAGACGTGGTGGGCGCCCCCTGCCTCACCTGGTAGACGTGGTGAGTCGCGCCCCTACCTCACCTGGTAGACGTGGTGAGTCGCGCCCCTACCTCACCTGGTAGACGTGGTGAGTCGCGCCCCTTCCTCACCTGGTACACGTGGTGAGTCGCGCCCCTACCTCACCTGGTAGACGTGGTGAGTCGCGCCCCTACCTCACCTGGTAGACGTGGTGAGCGCCCCTACCTCACCTGGTAGACGTGGTGGGCGCCCCCTGCCTCACCTGGTAGACGTGGTGAGTCGCGCCCCTACCTCACCTGGTAGACGTGGTGAGTCGCGCCCCTACCTCACCTAGTAAACGTGGTGAGCGCCCCCTGCCTCACCTGGTAGACGTGGTGAGCGCCGTCCCATTGTACCCCTACCTCACCTGGTAGACGTGGTGAGCGCCCCTACCTCACCTGGTAGACGTGGTGGGCGCCCCCTGCCTCACCTGGTAGACGTGGTGAGTCGCGCCCCTACCTCACCTGGTAGACGTGGTGAGCGCCGTTGCCGGAGCCGCTGAGGAAGGCGGCCGGGATCCAGCAGTGGACGCGGGGCGGCGGCGGCGGCGGCGGCTCGTCTTCCCCGGTGTCAGGCGCCCCCTCGGAGCCGGAGGTGTCAGAGGCGGCCCCGCTGAGGCCGCACTCGGCCAGTTCGGTCCGCAGCGCGGCCAGCTGCCGCTCCCGGCGGCCCAGCCGGCGCTGCAGCCGCTCATTGAACTCCATCAGCTCGCCGTGCATCTCGGCCACCTGGGTAGGAGAGGAGGGAGGGGGCGGGAAGAGAGCACCTCAGTCCCATGCGACAGGCAGCTCGGCCACCCGTCTGATAAGGGAATGAATGGGTAGGGGCAGATACGACATTTCATACCATTTTCACGCCGTGCGATTGTTATGCAGTAAGACCACCGAAACTTCCGTCAGCTGATTGCACCTACTGAGTATCAACACAATTAAGACAGAGCCAGTCAGACGCTCTAACTAGCCGTCCCAGCTTAACGCCGATCGCTACCCGCCGGGACACTCTACCCACCCTGCGGTCCTACGTCTAACCGCCGTGGCTGACCTGTATGAGTTTGTGCCTCGGCCCCTCCGTCGGGTGAGGGGCTATCTTCTGTTCGTCCCCCGATGGGGGTGGGACCATCCTCCGTCGGTCCGCCGTGCCGGACGGACTGACCTGTATGAGTTTGCGCTGGTAGGCCTCCGCCTCGGCGTGGTAGTCGTCGTACCGCTGGAGCGCCTGCTCCTCCGAGGAGCGCTGCTCGCGCTGCAGCTCCTCCAGGATCTGGTGCGGCGAGCCGTGCCGCAGCTGCTGCACCGCGCTCACGTAGTTCTTCAGCTGGTGCTTCAGGATGCCGTTCTCCCTGCGTCACAGAGCGAACGTATTGAGGTCACCGGTCTGACTGTCTTACAGAACACAGACACGGCGTGACTTGGCACACTTCAAGGTGAAAGCTGACGCCCTGAAAAAAAAAAATCGCAATACGTTTAGAAAACGTATTATGTTCTTTAATGTAGATAGAAGTGTGCATGCTGCGCTGCATTATTACGGTATACTTCAAATTCATCCGCTGCAGAAATACCGAAATACCAAAAGTGAAGAATAATAGAAGCCGTACGTTTTCAAGATGTCGCTCTTGGTTCTCACCTCTCTGAGGTGAGCCGCTTGCTCTCCAGGACAGCCAGTTTCTCCTCCCAGACGGCGCTGCTGGCCTCTGCCGCCTCCCTGTCGGCGGGCCGACCGAGCAGGTATCACAGACTGCACTCAAAGGGTGGGCTCAGAGGGACTGCACAGACCCGTCCATCCAATGAGCATCGAAACGGGAGGACGGCAGCACTGACGCAGGTGTTGGCTACAGACGATGGTCATTGTAGCTTCACGGCGCCCTAAGCAGATACAGATGCAGATACAGATGTATTCAAACAGGATCCCCTCTGAGGAGGGGCTTTTCACATGTTCACGTCAATGAAAAACCGAAAATACAAACAATGAAGCGCATACATACTCTTTCACGCACATGCATTCGTTCAACATACGTTCATGTCGGTGGCGTGGCCAGCAGCACATTTTTGACTTTGTAGCGGTACGACAGAATACCTGGCTCGACTCCCAGCTCGTTCAAACGAGCTATGCCACGGTAGCAGAGCCTACCAAACAGAAAGGTTTCAGACATTCAACCAGAAACTATGTACTTGAAATGGTTGGTTCTATTATATTCAAAGGCTGAATTTCACTCGTCTGGGTACCTGAGTGCGTCCCGCTGCTGTCGGACCGAGTCGAGCTCGGCGCGGAGCTCCGTCACCTGCTCGCTGAGCGTGGCCTTCTGACCGCTGACAGCCACCAGCGCCTCCCGCAGCTCCCCTGACGGAGGGAGAGCAGAGTGTCAGTCAGAAACAGACACACGGCGGGACACAGCACAGACACGGCACAACACAGCGCAGACACGGCGGAACTGACAGCGCAGACACGGCGGGACACAGCGCAGACACGGCGGAACACAGCGGCAGCCGTCAGCACGGCAGAGCGGGAAACGCACAATATATCAGCACAGCTCGCATTCAAACGCCCAGCGGCGCCGTCAGCGGGGCCCATGCGTGACCAGAGCGCCGGTGAGCCGGCCCCGTCACAGGCCGACCGTCCACCACCGGACGCAGACAGGTGGGGTGGTAACACGGCACAGACACCGGACCGGAGTCGTGTCCAAGCGTACTGCCGTCCAGCCACTGAGATGGACGGCAGCTCAGTCGCTGGACGGCAGCAGAGAGTGCCACTGAGCGATACAAACATCGCGATACTGGGCTACACAGCAATCAGAAGGCGCCAGTGTGTCAGCATGCACCACACAATGTCGGTGGTTTTTCAGCTGGCGGTACTCACTCTCTGACAGGGAGGCGGTCGTGCTACTCTCTCCGGGAGGTAGCGTGCCGTGGTCGCCGACCCCACTGGACACAGAGGGCGCCGCCTCCAGTAGGTCTCTGACGTCATCGGCAGAGTCGGCCGAGCTGGCCAGGCCGTTACAGAGCGCGCCCTGGGGAACAGAGGGAGGGGAGGGGAGGGGAGTCAGCCAGGCTGTGCCACTAACGAGAGGGGAGCGGTCAGTTGGCCGAGCTGGCCAGCCCGTTACAAACCACCTGAGAAACGGAGAGGGGGAGAGTCAGCCGGGCCGAGCTGGCCAATCTGCTGCAGTAGTACAGCGATGGGAGAGATTCAGACCGGCTACACCACTGACAGGAGGGCAGAGATATATTTGGCCGCCTGTATCAATAATAGGATGGGAGCCGAGGATCACACTATCAGTATTCACCGGTCCCCGCCCGGCGCAGTGCACTGACTCACCGGCTGCGGGAGCGCCGGCTCGCCGTTGGACGCGCTGAACCGGTCACTGACTGCGTCCAGCTGCAGCGTCAGAGACGCCGCGTCACCGGCCTCGCCGCCGCACGGCCGCAGTTGCTGGGGCGCCTCCGGGCCGGCCTCCTCCGACCTGCCGCGCGCGGAACACACGCCGGTTACACGAAACCGCCGCCGACAGGTGCCAGTTAGGAGCAGTTGCGCTTTGCATGAAAAACGAATTTATTCGGCTCGTTTGTCCCTAGTCTGTCCTTCTCGCTCCATGCATGACATTCCCGATCCGTTCAGTCTCTATCCCATCATATCCCGTCTCGCTCCATCCCGCTCAGTCCCACCCGGACCCGCCCGCTCGGTCTCACCTGGTGCCGTCCCCTCCTACCCCATTGGCCCGCACCCCGTCCCGCCCCGCTCGGTCTCACCTGGTGCCGTCCTCGCCGCTGCTGGCGTCCGGCAGCGAGTGCTCCGAGCGGCTGCTGCCGTCGTGCTCGCCGCCGGCGCCGTCGAACGAGAAGGCGTGTCGGCCGCCGGCCGGCGCCGGGGACGAGACGCACGTGGCCGGCGCCGACCGCCAGCTGGGCGACGCCACCGAGCCGGCGTCATCGCCGTCCAGCGACACCACCTGGGCCTGCACACGCCGGCGCCGGCGGCGGCCGCCCGGCCGCGCCGCGCGCACATCTGCCCGAGCAGACAGCAGATGATGGCGGGCAGCGCGGGGTGGGAACGAACCGAGAAGGTGGTATCGTCCCCATCCTGGGCTAGTTAGGTCGGGTAGGACTCCCAGGGCCACTGCAATCGCATACCGCATTTTCATCGGACAACCGACACAGCTCACGAACATTACAGCAATCAGCGCCGGATAAAGTGAGTGAAGCTTGTGCTCAGAGTCCCTGTACATCTTTAACCCGCGCCCCGTAGGGCTACCGGCGGACCCTACCACCCGTAGGGGGGGGGGCCGTTTCGGCCCCCCCCCCTAAGATCTCGGAAAGTTACCGGCCGATTTTCAAAATTCAAACGGCGTTCGATAGCCCCACCCGGGAACTACCTTGTGACCAAATTTCATTGACCTAGGTCAAACCGATGACGTCACAGGTCAGGTCAAAGGTCAGATTTTCACCGTTCACAGGCAATTCAAGAAATGTGCTGTGAAAGCGAGTAAATTGGTAATTTATTGAAAACCATCGATGGTACATTGTTCGTCAAACACATACTTTGCTATCTGAGGTCACTGATACCAGGTCAGGTCACAGCGAGGTCAGGTCACCGGGGGTCACAATATGAATGTGTCGTGTGATACATGTTTTATGGTCCATTTTACATGACAAATGCGATTATGTGGGTTAGGCAGCCTTTGGGGCCAGCCTAGGTCACGTTTTTGTGAAGGTCAGGTCAAGGTCAGGTCAAATTAGGTCAAATTTCAAAGTTGATATTTTTGCATAAAATGGGTATCGATTCGATGCAGCTCGTCACGGGGAGTCTAATGGTGGTCTTTGTTTTGCTCTACGAGTTCTAGAATTGCCAAAAATTGAGTTTGAAAATTTGACGTCATCATTTTTGAACAGTTTTTTCGCTATAACTTGGCCAAAAAACGAGGTATCGATCTGAAATTTGGTATGTAGATAGAAGACGGTAGGCACTATCACATATATTCCGGTTTTTTTCGAAACTCAAAAAACTTTTTGGATTTTTTGGCGAATATATCCAAAAAAATGCTTTTTTGATTTTTGGGGGTCAAAACTCAAAAATTTCAAAAATTCGAGATAGCAGTTTTGTAGCACTGTCAATTCTACACCTTTTATGTCTTGATCATTTTTCTGTATCTTCAAAGCTGTAGTCCTGACAGGTCTTCTCGCGAAGGTCTTTTTTCGGTCGAAAATGACAGAACATGACGTCACTCTGACGTCATTTGTGGCCAAGGTATCATAGCCTCTGGAAAAATTTTTGGTCACAATGTGTAAAATTGATGCCCGGAGGGGTCCTGAAAGTTTCGTGGCGATATCTCCAGCCGTTTAGGAGATATCGACCGAAAAGGACAGGGGGGGGGCCGTTTCGGCCCCCCCCCCCCTACGGGGCGCGGGTTAAGCCTTACATTAATCACACAGAGTTTGTGCGTTCCTCATAATATGTGTCACCCCTCTTCCTCGCCCCACTCCATTCCTCTCTCCATTCAGAGTTTTTTCACTCAGTCCTCACCGACAGACTGGGCCTTGACCACGGCCTCAGGCTCTCGGCTGGGCGGCGCCGCGCTCAGGTCGGGCGGTCGCGGCCGCGGCCGGGCCGCACCGTTCAGCTCCTGGCGGTCTATGCTGATGGCAAACAGCACCGAGCTCAGACCTGGCGGAGGGCCGGCCGAGACACGTCAGATGACGACAGGACGCGGTATCTGAGACAGGCCGGCGGGTCAGCTTAGTGTGCGTCAGTGCGGATCTGGACGGTGTTTCACCGACGCTGCCAGCACACGTGGCAATTTGGGTTTCCGTGGAAACATCAACAAGCCCATAGCTCCAACACTACCATAAGTATGACGTCAGCTCGCGAAATGCGCTGGCAGCGCGCTGGCAGCGTCGGTGAAACACCACCTTAGACGACTCACGACATCAGACCAGCGACGTCAGTCGGGAAAAAATCATCCTTCAGCTAGAAAAGGATTAACTACGATCATAACCGTAATATGATGCACCGTTAGTGGGGCATCATATTACGGTTGAGGTTACATTATTTGCCAGTGGTAGTAACGACTCTTTGACTCTTTAGTGCCCAGGTAGTAACATCATATGCCAGTTTGGCGACGTCAGGGGACCGTCATTCACCAGGTGTCTGTTGGAATGCCGAGGTCACGTCACCGGGTGTCTGTCGGAATGCCGAGGTCACGTCACCGGGTGTCTGTCGGAATGCCGAGGTCACGACGTCACCGGCCGTGGCCGAGCGCTGTCCTGCGCTGAGTCATACTAGCCAGCCCGGGGCCCGGGGCCCGGGGCCACCACACGGCACGTCACTCACAGAGCGCAAACACGGGTCTGGTAACGGAGACCACACAGAGAAAAACACCCCACCGGCGGCACGGCAACAGACAGCTGCGCAGCCAGATCCCAATAAACAGACGATTGTGGGGCCGAGGTCCGATCATTCTCGGCAAAACACTCTGAGGTTGATAACAGGAACCACACCTGTCCCCATCAGCCGATGAAAAAGAAATAACGAAACCGACTGCGGAGATACCAAGCCGACTCAGTCCATCCCCCCCCCCAAAAAAAAAATCGGTCACAGAACACATGTGCGGTGCAGGCGTGTCGGTCGAATGGCGAACGGGACCGGCACGATGGTTCGTGGGGCTTTGAGCGACAACTACACCGCAACGGAGAGATGGAGAGAATAGAGATGGAGGGAAGGAGGGAGATGGAGGGAACACATCTACGGAGAGATGGAGGGAACAGGACAGAAGACAGCGGGGACGCGTAGAGCGCGGTCCGGCGGGTTCAGAGGGTAATGGAGGGAGTCCCGACCGTACCGGCAGCGATGTTGGGCAGCATGGCGTTCTTCTCGGGGTCAGCCAGCACCGCCCACGGCTCGTAGAAGCGAGCCATACCCTCTCGGTCGCCGATCAGTGCGTGAAGGTACCTGGAAGAGCCGTAGCACGGCCCGTGTCACGCAAGGCGGACAAGAGTACAGCGATGTCGGTCACGGTCACGACTAAGTATGCGAATACCTAACAGGGATACCGTCATAAAAAGAACGCTGCCGGACGAAAACCGGCGGTCACTGCAGACTGATATAGCTTGTTGATGTTTGAAAAAAGATGCGCAGTTAGATGTGGTTCTGCGGGCTTGAACAGGGGAAGGGTCTGCACGGCTCGGGCACGGGTCTAAGCGGCTCGGGGACGGGTCTGGACGGCCCGGGGATGGGTCTGGACGGCCCGGGGACGGGTCCATATGGCTCGGGCACGGGTCTGGGCGGCTCGAGGACGGGTCAGACGGCTCGGGGACGGGTCGGCCGACCCGGGGCGGCGGCGCGTACCGTTCGAGCGAGCTCTCGTTGAGCGCCGAGCGGAGCCAGGCGCGGCCGCGGCCAGCGTCCGAGTGGATGTTGACCAGCAGCAGGTAGCGCTCGTACTCGTGCCGGGTCAGGTGCAGCCGCACGTAGTGCCAGAACACTGCCGGCCGACGGTCCGGGGTAGGTCAGACTGCCGGTCACCGCGACATACGGACCGGAGGGCGGTACAAGAGCACAACCGGGCCGACCGGCGGCACAGGCGGGTGAAGAGCAGACAATGGAACACCAAAGACACACACTCTGATAACCTGACGCCTCGCTATCCGCCAATAAGACACTGTGGGTAGTTGAAAGAGTATCTGAGAAGAGACGGAACGTACCCGGGGGTTCCGGCGGCGCTCCACTCAGGTTTATGCTAAAGTTCTGAGCAATGGCATCACGCATCTGTCTGAAAGAGCAGGGACATCAGAAATCAGAACAGCAGCTAACAATGGGTGAACAGGCTTGAACAGCTTGTCAGCAGAGCAGAACAGCAGAGCAACTTGAACTTTGTCATAAATGCAGTGTCATGCTTTGACAGCCATTAGCTAAGCACTGGCAATCACTGGATATTGAAACCTCACTTCTCTGTTGGATTTCAATCATCCCATTCCTGTCCCTCCCCTACCAGCCACCTACAGCGTCCACATCAGATTGGTACCTGAATGGGGTGTTGCTGGCCTCGGGCTGTCGCAGGCCATGCTGCAGGACAGCCTCCAGCTGCTGGCACAGGCAGCAGATGCGCGGGTCCATGTCAGTGGCCAGCTCCCGCTTACCACCAAACCTGCAGGGGAATGAGAGCAGGGTCAGTGAGGGATCTGAGGAGAGGGTAGACCAATTACTCAGAAAACTCAACAAATCATTTATATGTTGTGGTTCCAATTGTGACATAAGATTTTACATTGCAAAAACTTTTGCCTGATGTATATTTACTAATTTTCCTCACCTGATTTGACACTGCTTTACAGCATCCAGCAGCCTTGACAAAAGGTTTTGCCTTTCTTCCGACTTGAAATTCATGGTTTTGTCTTGCTCTGTTTGTCTATGCTTATGGCTGATTGAGAATACCACGACTATTTGTCACAGAAAAATGGACATAACTATCGTCTTCACTCCTTCTGCTCCATCTTTATCAAAATTAAATAAACAAAGTTACACAACACTCATATATCACCCAACGCAAACCCACAAATCAAAATCCTTAAAGTGTGAAGCACAGCAAAGCAATGGAGAAGGTGGGACTAGGAGCAAAACCTTGAAGCGAAAATCGTCTCACCATGACAACGCAGATCTCTTAAATTATTCCAAGGCCAATAATCTGAATTCAGACAAAAACGCCCTAAGCTTCGCCCCAAGCGAAGATCTCCAAACACTGCCGACCTTGAAAAAGTGCATGAGCCAATGAGCTGGCAGAAGTCGGAGAAGCGGACAGCACTATTCTACTGCCAGTTGTGCGATCATCCTAAAACTTGAGTCTGTACTAATAGTTGAATTGCAGTTTGCAATTTTACTACTCTTTTTGTATTTATAACCTCAGGTGACCTAAATGACTTAAAAACGTCCATGTATATTCTCGCCTATTGAAGCATACTAAAACGCAGCAGCTAGCCCCGTTGTGCGCACTGCATAGTGCATAGTGCATTTATATCTCTATCATAGTGCATATCACGCCGTTAGGTACCCTCTGCTGCCAGGCATTGGCGGCTGCCAAGGCTGACGCTCGAATTATATGGAAACGCGAGCGAAATTGCAAAGTTTACTTACCTATGTTTCCACAGAAATAAAGCGTCAATGCCTTTTAGGGCGGGTAACGGCGTGTTGTGCAACATTACCTCATAGGTACCTACCTATAGGTAATATGGCCCACGACGATCAAGACGGTCATCCAAGGTGACACCATTCTAAATTCAGAATTCGATGTAGTTACCTACCTATATACCTAGTCCAGAGCTGGGCAAGTGCGTTCCTTTAGTGCGTTCCTGCGTTCTTCCTTACGTACGCACCGCCCTTTTTAGGAACGCAAGAACGCAGGAACGCAAAGTTTTTCAAAAAAACGCAAGTAAGAGGAACGCACCAACCGAAATTTTGAAGCGTTCCTGCGTTCTTGCGGAACCACCCGAAAAATGATATTGCTGCCAATGACCTCTGTGTCAAATGTTTGAATCTCGAGTACGTGTGTTTGCCGGTAGAGGCGCCACTTGTCGGTCGAGTCGAGGAAGGCTTGCTTAGATTTAGTGGTGATGTTTACTATTCGATTCGGTTTCAGGCATTAAATGTGTAATTTTTTTAGTGGTGATGTTTACTATTCGATTCAGTTTCAGGCATTAAATGTGTAAAGTAAATATGATAACTTTTACTAAGATACATCTTTTAACTTAACTATTGTTTTTTTAAGCAGGTCGTATTTTTGTTGAAAACCCTACGGATGATATTGGTAAAACGTATTTCAGATATTCGATTCGGAAAAGAGATGTTGAGTTGCTTTTCGGCCCCACGTCGCCATTCTGGGGATTCTGGGTATTCTGTGATCCAAGGCTGTGATCGATTCGCCCCGTGTTTGGTTGGGCCCGCGCCGCGTGGTTCGGCGGTATTTTTGAGGGAGGAACGCAGGAACGCAGGAACGCTAACGCACCGAACGAAAAAAAAAATTGAGGAACGCTATTCCAGGAACGCACTAACCGCGGCCGGAGGAACGCAGGAACGCTAACGCACTACCGGAAATCGAGGAACGCGCCCAGCTCTGATACCTACCATTACAGAAACCGTTTTGAATAGCTGACCGGAAGTGATATCGATGACCATACTCAGCATTCAGCAACTGCCCGGCCAGCTTTGAGACTAAAATACCACCATGCGATGCACCGATTTTATCGACAGGTTCGACATAATACCAGATACCTAATGGCCGGCTATGCACAGAAGGCCAGCGGCAGCTTGGCGCTCGACCGGACGGGCAGACGGACAAACAGACAGACGGACAGACGGATAGACGGACGGACGGACGGACGGACAGACGGACAGACGGACAGACGGACAGACGGACAGACGGACAGACGGACAGACGGATAGACGGACAGACGGACAGATAGATAAACGGACGGACAGATATGAAGGACAGTGAGCGGGCTGACGGACACAGACGGACGGCTAGCCGGATGGATGAAAAGACAGACTGACAGATAGACGAATAGATGGACGGACGGACAGACAAAGTTGACGGGGACGGGACTGGCGGGCGGACTGACGGATGGACAGTCAGACGGACGGACACACTTGCGGGCGGACAGATGTCGATAGATGGACGGGTAGATGGACGGTCGGAAAGACAAACCACAAGCGTGTGAACCGTATGTGGAATGGTGACCGACCTATACCCCCCCCCCCCCCCCGGGGGACGGGGCCGTGACCGTGTGTAGGCCGTGGGGCCGGTGCGCGGTCACCTGAGACCCGGAGAAAGTGTGCAGCAGCGGTGGGTAGCTCGGCGCTGCGGGCGGCGCCGTCGGCGGACAGTTTGTGACCCGCCGTCGGCCGCGTCGGACCGACAGTCGCGCGCCGCGGGGACCGAGATGACGCGCCGAGCGGCGGACGGTGGCGCCGGCAGCCACCGGCGACCGCTGGTGCTGCTGGTGACGGTGGTGACGGTGGTCCTGGTGCACGGCGCTGGTGCTGAGGCGGCAGGACGGGCTGGAGCAGCCGATGCTGGGGTGAGTCGCAGCTGCGGGGACTGGGGAGACCACCATACCATGCGTGCATAAACATCCGCAGCAGCGCATTTCACACGAGACACCCCCTGCGGCTACACACGCACCAACTGACTCCTCCACACTCCAAACGCGGTGATGTAGGGACTAGGGTGTAGGTGAGATGCCAGCCTATTTTAATTCTCTACACTCAGTCCAAAGCTAGAAAGGTCTCCCTGTCAGTCCGTGCCTCAGAATTGATAAAGCGTTTAACTCCCGTTGGTGTGTGACCGAGTTCAAGTAACTCCGGCGATCGATGTGAGACTCCTGACGGGGATGGTCTATGGTTGGTGGGAGCAACCGCACTCCGCAGCCTGTTGACAGACCGTATCCGGCTCTGCAGGGCACGCTAAACTGACACCTAAATTATCCCGTCACCCGGCATTGCCCGGGCGGACGGTAAGGGTCGCGGCCTACATAAGTAACAAGCTCTACTGTCAGCCTGTCAATTCAATTCAAACATTCTAAGATTTAGGTACAACAACAAAACCTGCAACGGGAGGTGAGCGATTTTAGCAGCGTAGGAATCGGAACCCAGCTCCGCTTGTAGCTGTGCTGGACTGAGCTGCAAGGTCGAGAACCGGAGCGGCCAGTCATGTGTTTTAAAAGTTCGGACAACTTCTAAGTTCTAACACTTTGAAAGCCAACTTGACAGCTTTTGAAAGTTGGCGTTATTGTTGGAAGTATGTACTGCTGTAGTCCCTAGTCCCTAGTCCTAGTCCCTGTAGTCTTACGTCCCAGTGCCAGCGGTATGTGTTCTGCTGCAGTCTCCAATGACCGCCGTATTCGTTTTATTGTTATGTGCACTATTGTACTCACTGGCGGATCCAGGCTTGCGTTTTGGGGGGGGGGCAACTCATGCAGGAGCCAAACCTAGGGTACCCCCAAATCCTGTTTTCTCATCGGATTTAGGCCACTTATTTTTCGTCACAGCCCTGACACTATATTTTTTTTAACTAAAAAGAAAATATATATATAAATGGTAGCCCACCCAACCCATGCCTTTATATTACTTTGTAAACACTTACCATTGCTTTTGTCGACCAGTTAACCCGCTTCGAGTCAGTGCTTGGGTCCCTTTGCGGGCCGGGAGGTGGTAAAACACCCCCTGTCTAACTCGGCTCCTGGGCCACGCACTGATTGAACTATGTTTCATTATCGTTTGGGGGAGGCGGCAAACGGGCCACTTTAGGCCTCTGGGAAGGGGGCATGACCCTCAATGCCCCCTCCCTGGATCCGCCAGTGTAAGAACTAAGAGACCATTGGAGCTGCAGTTGGGTACCTCAGACGTCAGGGTACGCCCTCAGATGTATAGGACTCGCGTGGAGACCTCTTATGCTATAGTGGACTGAAAGGACCCAAAGGAGCCCGTCTAGGGCTCCCGGAGATAGACGTGGGCCCTCAGGAGCCCGCCAGAGCCCCCAATGAGGGATAAGTGAGGGATACCAAGTGCCTGCAATTGCATATTGCATAAGCCATAACGTATCAGTGGCAGATCCAAGGGGGGCCACATGGGTCATGACCCCCCTTGGTGCCCGGGGGCACCACAGGCCTGTCAGGGGCACCACCGACCTAGCAGGGGCACCGGGTACCACCAGCCCGCCAGGGGCACCACAGGCCTAGCAAGGGCACCACGGGCCTGTGAGGGGGCCCACAGGCTTGTCAGGGGCACCCCAGGTCTGTCAGGGACACCAGACACCTGCCAGGGGCACCACCGGCCTCGCAGGGGCACCATGGGTCTGTCAGGGGCATCAGAGGCCTAGCAGGGGTACCATAGGCCTAGCAGGGGTACCATAGACCTTACAGGGGCACCACCGGCCTTGCAGGGGCACCTTGGGCCTGTCAGGGGCACCATAGTCCTGTCAGGGCCCAGGGGCACCAGCGGCCTAGCAGGGGCATCACAGGCCTGCCAGGGGCACCACCGGCCTCGCAGGGGCACCATGGGCCTGTCAGGGGCCCCACCGGCCTCGCAGGGGCACCACCGGCCTCGCAGGCATCACGGCATCCCGCAGGGGCACCTTGGGCCTGTCGGGGGCATCACGGGTCTGTTGGGGGCACTTTAGGCTTGTCAGGGGCACCACAGTCCTGTCAGGTCCCAGGGGCATCAGCAGCCTAGCAGGGGCACCCTAGGCCCGCCAGAGGCACCACAGGCCTGCCAGGGTCCAGGGGCACCACAGGCCTAGCAAGGGCACCACGGGCCTGCTGTCAGGGGCACCTCAGGCTCCCGTGCCCCCCCCCCCCCCCTGGATCCGCCAGTGATGCCACACCACGCGAAACACCGCCAACTACCAAGTACCAGCTGCCGCTCCATAAACACGTGTCAACCACAGTCTTTTTTTGAAGGTGGCGACTCCGCTCGCGCAACTTTTGACTGACCCTCACTGCTACCATATGGCCTCCATATTATGCTGTGGAAAGCCTTACTTCACCAAGTGGCTAAAAACCTCCATCAAGGTATATTTTCTTAGCAATTTTTCTGACGTTTTGGGGGGCCAAACAGGCCACTTTAGGCTTTGGGGGGGGGGCCATGGCCCTAAATGCCCCCCCCCCCCCCTGGATCCGCCAGTGATTGTACTCCCCCAAGTCATCATGTCACCGTTGTGTCCCTTTTAGTGTTATCGCTCTGTGCACAGTTGCAGTCCCCAAGCTTCGGTGTTATCGTTATGTGCACTGTTGTAGTCCCATAGCATGTGCGACATTGATATGTGCACTGTTGCAGTCCCATAGCATTGGTGTCATCAGTATGTGTAGTGTGTACTGTTGCAGTCTCCAAGCCTCAGTGTTATCGCTACGTGCATTGTTGCAGTCTTCAAGCTTTGGGGTTATCGTTCTGTGCACTGTTGCAGTCTTCAAGCCTTGGTATTGTATTGTGTTGTATTGTATTGTATTGACAAAGGCAGACAACTCCACATGGGCGTGGCTATTCTGTGTCTCTAGTCACAGAGAGTTATAAAGAAAACATACATCAGGGTAAAATGGGAAAATAAATGGTGTAAAATGGTGTTAAATGGGTAGGTAAAATGGGTAAAATGGGTAAAAAATGGGTAGGTCAGGGTAAAATGGTGTTATTGTTATGTGCAGCGTTGTAGTCTCCAAGCCTTTCAGTTATCATCATGTGCACTGTTGCAGTCTCCAAGCCTTACTGTTATCGTTATGTGCACTGTTGCAGTCTCCAAGCCTTACTGTTATTGTTATGTGCACTGTTACAGTCTCCATACCTTGGTGTTGCCATTATGTGCACCGTCGCAGTCTCCAATCCCTGGAGTTACCGTCATCATCAGTCTCCAAGCCTTATAGTTAGCGTTGTGTGCACTGCTGAAGTCCCTCATGCCAGCTGTTTCGGTGTTAGCGTTGTGTGGTCCAGCATTGAAGTTTCTCTTGACTGCTGCCTTGGTGTTAGTGTTGCACGCTATTGAGGTTTCCTATGCCCTAGGTCGAGTTATTGTTGTGTGCACTGTTGTTGAGGTCTTTCTTCGATCACTATAAAGCCAGAAATAAAACGGGAATCGAATGAGCGATATCAACTGACCGATCGACGTTAAATATTCCATTTTATACCGTAATACAGCGTTCTGTGCTTTTGTGTATGAAAAGCGTGTGGATGAGGGTCTCGGTTACTCTAATTATACCTACAGTAATTGGCTGTGTCCTCTGCTCACCCGTCCCACGCATTTGTCAGTGACTGGCGTTTCACCGCGCCGTCATAGAGCCGCCGTCGGTGACGTAGGCCGTCGATTAGCTCCCGTGTCGAGCGGTGATTTCAGGCCGCTCATTACTGGCGGGGGAGCGCGTAACACCGGTGACGGCAAGTTGACGGCCGGGTGTCACTCTGTGACGGCGGGCGGAGGCTCGTGCGGCTGACGTGCCATATCGAGCCCCGCTGCCCAGGAGAGCTGTCACCAGCGGCGCACCTGAGCTGTGAGCCTCCTGCCACGGTGCACCTGAGCTGTAAGCTCTCTGCCGCACCGCAACTGACTGAGCTGTGAGCTCTCCGCCGCGGCGCCCCTAAGCCCTGGTATCCCTGCCGCGGCGCACCTGAGCTGTGAGCTCTCCACCGTGGCGAGCTGCAGCCACGGCAGGGAGCGCAGCGCCGCGGAGAGCTGCGATTCTGTCACACGGTAGAATCGACATCCAGTGACACTGGACGGCTTATGCGCGATGGTGGAGAACGGAGAGATGTCTTTACCAGAACGCTGTCGACAATGCAGCGAGTAGCGGGAATGGTATCTGGTGATATTGGTAATACCGACCTTCCGACAGGCCCGTTTCCGACTTTCGGACACGCCCCGCGGCTCCGGTTCCTACGAGCTCTCCGTGTTATTCAAGTGATACGGGTGCCTGACCGGGGCGCCCAGCTGACCACTGGTGCTCGCCTCCTCCGTCCATGTAATAACCACGGTTTCACCAGAGGACAATGGTGACAGACAGCGAGTCAGTGCCGTCCCGTTCACCTTCACAAATGACGCATATGAGACATATTCCCGCTTGGAACGGCACCACGGGAAACCCGCGCACGAGCTAATTAGAGGATGGGCACAGACATCAAATTACCGTCCAGGCAGACACCATTAGCAGTCAAAGTGAGATCTCCATGCATCAGTCACCCGCCGTCTCGCTCCGTCCGTTCTGCTGTCAGTGAGCAGCAGTGTGGCGTTACGCAATGGAACGCACGGTGGCTGTGATATGACACAGCTACCGTATCATCAACACGCTTAGGCAATCGTCTCTGCTGGACTGAGCATTACCCATTAACCACCACCGCTAGGTTGAGATTATTTACCTGCCTAAATCCATTAAACATCAGCCGCACATACCAATGTATATCGTCCTCGTTGGTCGGATCCGAGCCATTGAGGAGCGCCATTGACGACTGACGGTCCTGTTTCGCAGGTTCTGGAGGATACAACTGCACTGGGATCGGACAGATCAGAGACGACCGAACGAGCTGGCCAAAGACGAACTACTGCGGCCAGGTGAGCAATAGGTATACCTACGCGCCTGCCCCTCAGGCAATACAGAACCGCTCACATAGAAGGCAACCTATCACTATCGCTGATGCGCTCATCAGATATCGCTGAATGTTTGGGTGCCTAAGATGACCAACAAAAGACCAAGCTTCATTGGCCAGTCCATCGTGAATAATGCTGCGCGACAGTCCAGTCAGACGCAGCACAGCTAGATGTGTCTCGCTAATGTACGGAGCTATGTAACATAATGTGGCTTCAGTTCGTCATTGTTAGTACCAAACATGACACCATTGACAAAACTTCTCATAGCTGTTAAGTACAGAACGTGAATTGCGCCCATCGTCACCCACAAAATATGATTAGAGCACTGCTCCACAGGAGTTCTGCCCCGGCCGGATCCAGCAGAGCTGTCTCTGCCGTCGACGGCAGCTCATCCCCGCCGGCCGGTGACGGGGGCGCGGACCAGATGTTGGCCCTGCCGTCCATCCTAGGGCAGACGTTTGTGCCCAGCCCTCGCGCACCGGAGACGCTCAGTGACGGTTTCCGACCGCTGGCCCGGCCCGGCCCCGCTGTCGGTCAGGCTCCGAGCCCCTCCGGCGGGCGGCGGCCGCGCTGGGACTGGCCGGTGGAGGGGGCAGTCACCACCTACCGCCCCGCCATCAACGTCTCCCTGCTGCTCGCCGGAGCGCAGTGGAACACTGAGCCACCGCTGACCAGAGGACAGCAGCCCCAGACAGAGCTCCGGAGGTCGCGGAACGGAGGACAGCAGCCGCAGACCGAGCTCCGGAGATACGACCGACCAGGGAAGTCGGGCCACGGGTCACACACAGGTGCACAGAAGGGAGGGTTCCAGTCACAGAGAAGCGTATCGTCATCGGCATCAGGCCTCGCCGATCGGCAGCCAGGCTTCTGGAGGCCGGAGGATTTACCGTTCGCAAACTTCGAGTTCTTCAAAACACATGACCAAAAGCAAAGCACCTCTTCGGATGCAGCGTCTCTAAACGACTTACCACAGCTCTCTGACGCTCAGTACGAGGTCTATAAGGACCGGGTGGCCTCGATAAACCAGTTGTGGTTCCCGACCTCCCCCTACCCCGGCGGTTCTCCCACCACGCCGGGACCGTCGCCGACGCTGTACGCCGGGGACCGGAGCAGACCCAGCGGGTCGGGACCCGAGGACGTCAGGCGGTCAGACCTCCCACCCAGCCCTGGCTCGGTCCATGAGAGACTTGTCGCGGCCAACTTACCGACGAATCCGGTGACGGCTGACGGCCAGGGCAGTGGAAGGCCCGGACGTCCCGCTGGCCGTCCTGGTGTCGCTGACCTGGCACTGACAGACGGTGGGCGTCCCGGGGTCATAGAAGAACGCTCCGACGCGGCTTTGACTTCACTGGCAGACCTCCACTTTGACATCGCCAAGAAACGTCGTAACGACATCGGAGGGCGAAGCCAGCGGCACAGGAAGAGACGCCCCCACGGAACCCGAAGCAGCGGACAGAGAGAGGAGATTCACAGACCTACGGAGGAGACTCCTACGCAAACTACAGAGCTTCCGACAGCTGATGAGCAGTCGGTTCAGAACTACGGGGCGCCCGGCATCTCCAATGTGTACGGTCCGACTTTTGACCCCGAGCTGGTGCCGACCTACGGTCCCCAGACGTGGCGGGCGGCTCCCACAGAAACAGCGCCGACCTCAGCCAGCCACACTGACTTCGAGCCCCCTAACAACAGCCTATACGAGCACCTCTCCGAGCCAACACACCCCTCACCGGAGGACCAGCAGACGTCCGGCACACCGGCCTACCCGGCGCCCCACAGTGGGCAGCCGCTCCCCGCAGCGCAGTCCTCTCCGCAGCCTCAGCAGACACACCCCTCGCCTCAGCCAGCCGCGCCACCAACGATCCCGTACCCGACCCTGCCGACCGTTCGGCCGTACCGCGGTACCGCCGAGGTACGCCGGGCGTACTCCGACCCGGTGTCGCACCAGTACCCGTCCACCCGGAGACGGGAGTTCCTCCCTCCGGCCGCCGCGCCGCCCGGCCAGTCGTACCTCAGCGTGACGCGCACGGTGAGCGGCGGCCGGCCGGGAGCGCCCGAAGTCACCGTCTCTCACCACACCATCCTGCCGAGCGGCGTGCCGCCCGCCTCAGCATCGGCGGCCGCCAGCGCCGGCGGAGACACCGTGGGACCCTCACCGAGCTCACTGGCAGGAGGAAATTATCATGAAGCGCACAGCTCCATCACAGGTGATACCAATAACCGACGGACCTCAAATTTCTACAACTCAGGCACAAACGATGTCGACAATAATGCAATCTTAAAGAGCTCCGACCACACATCCCCAGAGACCAGAGTCAGCACCGTTAAATTTGGCACGGATCCTGTGCGGCCGGAGCCAGCTGAAGCAAAAGCATCTGAAAGTGTCGTGCCGACTACTGAAACAACGCTGACCGATTACCGTTTTGACCCGGCGGAACATATTTACATTACTCCCACTCCCGGTAATTCTGAGGGACAGTTCACCCGTGAAGACGTTTCCCTGGGCGCAGTTCTCCCGCCGCCTCCGACTGAGGTCGCCGTGCCGTCCACTGTCGAGCCCCCTGTCGTGGCGGAGACGGCCTACCGGACAGGCAGTGAGCCCGTGGCCGTCCTGCCGCCGCAGAGTGATACTCACGTCCTGGCGCTGGTGAGCGCCCGGCCCGCTACGGCACACACCTCAGAGACAACCGACAGCCAGCATCAAACGGAGGGAGACGGAAGTCCCTCGGACCACCACACTGGACAGGGGGGCAGCAACGCTCCCCTCCCACCGGACGAATTCCAGCACCCGCTCGGCGCCGAGAACGAGATACCCGACTACGCTCCCGGCCCCGAATACCACCACGAGGACCACTCGGTGCACCACGACTTCAAGTACGCGCACTACCACGACCTGGAGCACAGGCCCGTGGACTACGTGTATGCGGAGCCCGAGCTGCAGCTGCGCCGCCCGCCGCGCGGCCGCCTGCCGGCCGGCTGGCGTGGCTGCCGGCGCTGCACGCGGCGCCGACCGCACCCCCAGCGCCGGCGCCGTCCGCCGCACCGCCACCGGCCGCAGCGCCGCCAGGGAGTCGGCACCGGGATCCTGCCGGATCTGTTCTCGTGGCCGCTGCCGGCGCTGTTCCAGAGCTCGTTCCGACGGAGGACGCAGCGCCGGCGCTTGGCGCGTTCTGCCGTCCACCCCGGGCGAGCTGAGGGGGACCGGCCGGAGAGGGACCAATCCCGGCCAGTCCGGGGCCGCGCAGCGCGCCTGTTCGACGGCCCGCTGAGCGTGCCTCTCACCCAGCACGGCCGGCCGTTCCTGCACACGCTGCGGCCGCAGGTGGCTACGCCGCCGCCGCCGCCGCAGCGCAGTCGGTTCGTGGCACTGAGCACGCCGGAGACTCCGTCACTGCGGGACGGCGTGCCGGTGCCGGTCAGCCAGCGGCACACGGCCGGACCGACCCTGGCTCCCGGCCGGGAGAGCACGGCCGTCACTGCCTCTACCACTACCGCCACACCATCGCCGCCGGTCACAGAGACTACCAGCGCCCAGACACCGCCCGGCGTCCCCACCCCGCCAGGACCGCCGGCAGTGACGGCGCCCACGGCTGCGCCGTCCAGGAACAGCGCCCCGGTGACACCGGTACCCCGGCCGGCGACGGCGCCGGCCCCGCCCGAGCTGCGCCGGCACCTGACCGGGGCACCGAGCGCCGCCGTCAGCCCCCCGCCGCCCCCGCCCCCAACGGCGAGGCACCCGTTCCGTCAGTACCTGGCCTCAGGGAGACTGGCGGCCGGGGAACGAGCCAAGACGTACTATCTGAGCTCAGTGACAACCAGAGGATCCAGCGAGGACGGAGAGACGGACACTCCGGACGGAGTGTCGCCGCCCCCTGGTCGGCAAGAAGAGCTGGATAGTGCGCATCCTCCACCTGGAGAATCGAAAGTGGGGGTGGTGAGTCGCACAGAGTCTCCAGCGGACAACACTATCGCTGACGCGGATAGCCTTAGCGTCATGAAGTTTCTGGCCGGGTTTCCGACGCCTAAACCGACACCTCGACCTGAGGATGCCACGGTGGCTACGTTTGGACCCAGCAGTCGGCCCACCGTCCGGCCGACCCAGACCGCCGATCGGCCGACACGACCGGCTCAGGCCGCAGGCAGGCCGACCGGACTGGCCCAGACCACCTCAGCCCGGCCGGCCCGCAAGCGCACCACGCAGGTGGAGTCGCGGTTCGCGCCGCAGCGCCGACCGACTCCGACCGTGTCGGTGTCAGCGGGCGGTCTCTCGGCACCTGTGAGCCTCCGGCGGCGGCCCGGCAATTCACAGGTGCTGGGGGCCCGTCCCACGGCGGAGGCCGGTCCGGGCCCGGCACCGCGGCCGACCGGGTCCCCGCGGCGGTCTGAGTTCCGACCGGCGCGGTGGTACCGCGGCCGGACCGACCTCTCGGCCATCGGCGAGCGGGTCATCACGCAGGTGGCGGCGCCGCAGCTGCTGACAGCCCGGCGCCGCTCCTGGTGACCGAGCAGCCGCTGATCGGCGGTTAGAGACAGCCGCTGACTGGCGGAGAGATAGACGGGCCGCCGCGGACCGGGAGAGAGACAGACAGTCTGCCGTTCCGGAACGGCCAGTAGGGTAGTGTGGGGTAATTTGAACATATTTTTACGTCTTCTCCGTTGTACCAAATTCCAGTTCAACCCTGGATGAAGAAAAACTGCTTCAGTAGCGCAAGTGTCACTTGCTTTCACCATGCAAGCCTCATTTTTGGACGAGCCGAGCATACCTTGAATAGCATAGCCTCACTTCTCCACCAAGTCACGGTGTGTTCAAATTGCCCAACCGTGGGGTAATTTGAACATACTGCCTTTACCTGTCATAAAAACGATAGTCTCGCCAGCACCGATGTTGTTTGACCCATAAACAAATAGGCAGAACGATTCTAAACATACCTTCACTTGAAAAATCAACACAACAGTAAAAATAACAGTTGCAGAGTATCAATATCTGCACGCTGCACACCGGTCAGTTGACAGAATTCGCCCCTCTTCAATTAACAGAACGTCTATCATTTTTGTTCGATAAAAACTCTCCCAACCGTACTACATCTGTTGAAGTGGTGCCAATCGAAACCTGGACATTTGGAGTTCTGATTTTGTCCAATGTCCAATTCGGAATTGTTTGGACAAAGGTAGCAGACTGGACAATATTGGACGATGGCTTGCTACACTTCAGCGCTTTTTATAAAGTAATCGTGCATAGCATTGATTGGCGAATGGAAAGCTTGTTAAGATCTCAATATAATGAACACTTTTCGGCTGGTAAAATTACATGATAAGCAGTATAAATGACGGTTTTGAGTGTTGATAGCTGCATAATTTTCGGACATATTTGGACAAATAGTTGACTTTAACATTTTTGGACGGAAAATCAACAAAAATGCCGGACATTAGACGGATATTAGACGTAAATTTTCTAAAACTGGCATCACTTATCTGCTACTGCCTTGGGTCGAAAATATTGGCAAAAAAAAAAACTGGGAGCGTTGTTTTTTTCGGAGCTATCCCTGTCTTCATTTAAATTCTCACACTATGTTCAAATTACCCCACGCTAAAAGTTATTTTGCCATTTTAAAAAACAGGATTCAAAAGCAAATTTCTTGGATTGACGGCGCTGATTCGGTCATTATACAACAAAAGCCGTTGCGTATTAGGCGCTAGCAATGCAAGATTTTGCGCTGCAATAAAGTTGCAATGACGTGTTGTTAGGCGTTTTCCTTGCGAAATTGATTTTTTTACACTGTGCGTCAACATCTTCATTCCCTGAAACTTAAAACCCCGTTCATATGATAGCCCTTTTAGTTACGATAATTTCTCTCATTGGTCTTATTGTCATGCCACTTATGGATTTTCCGTAATTTTGTGTTATTCACACTATGTTCAAATTGCCCCACATGTTCAAATTACCCCACCCTACCCTACGGCAGATCAGACCCGCCCGCGATCGACGGCAGTCGGTGCCGCGTCCGGGCCGCACGCTCTGCCGGCCGAGCGGCGCGACCCGAGCCGCAGCAGAAGTGACCTGAAACCGGCACACCCTCGGCTCACCGCCCAGATCCGTGACGGGAGCTCCGGGATCGAGCAGTCCAGCGGACACGTGCGACAGAAAGCCGTCACCCGGGAACGAAGACGGCATACTCAGCGTTCAGCGGAACTGGAGGGGGGGGGGGGGCAGTTGTGACCGGTGACCGTACCGTGACGGCTCCGTGTTCCGTGAGTGGCCCGCGACTCGTGTCCGAACCGGTGGCCGGAGCGCCGCGGCTGTGGGCCAGCAATACGGGTCGGGGGCGGCGAGCGTGACCTTTCCGGCGACACTGCAGAGACCGTCCATTGTTATCCAAGAGAAACTGAAATTTCTAGTTTTGATGAGAGAAAGGATACTGCATTACCGTACCTACACAAACAATATACAAACGGGACATGCGCTACTTCGCTCGCCGGCCGCTGCTCACCGCCGCATCAGATGAGATGTTTGCCCCATTACCAATGTTTAGTTAGTCACGCAGGTGTGCATGCGTATTTATCTGAGATTGTTTTCAGCATGGATGAGTGTTACTGTTTATCGAACCATCTGTTATTACACAAACGCATGTCGCATTGTTATTTTACATTTTAATATACCACCGTAAACGCGATGTTCCGTCTTTCGTAAGAAGTCCTCTAAAAGTTTAGCACCTAACGAGAGGCTTGAAAATAGCAGCAATTCAATTAGTAGACTGTGGAGTGGAATTGAACACGTTCTAGAACGATGAGCACCGGGCAATTTGGCAGCGTCTCAAGTAACCCATTACCTCGACGTCAGCCATAAAGGACGTGAAAGTTGAGCATGGAACTTCAAATGCGACCACAGTATGATAGTAAAATCCATTCAGATTTCCGAGCGTTTCAACCAAACGTGACTGAATTTTGCGGCTCCCCTTTACACCACCTCCCAACGTCTGTACGTATGCCGTAGAGTAAAAATGTTGCATTCATACAGCACTTCTTCCGGCTGTAGGCCGTAGGGGTTCATCGACTGGCTGAGAGGAAGCTCGCACCTCGGACCAGTTCAGCACCCGGTGCCGTCAGCTCCAATCCACATCATCCCGGAGTCTGAGACCGAGCGGCGTCACCCGGTACACAACACTTTCGCTATTTACACTGCCGTCACGGACGGCAATCAGCATCCGTTTTCTACGCAACAAAAACCAGCCTTCCGCCGTGTGTGAGCGGCGCGCAGTCGTGGCGCCGGTGGGCCATTCGGCACGGTCGGCGGTCGCGATCCGCCGCCGCTACTCTGTGATTACCAACACCACCGTCAGCACCTCTGCCGCCTCCGTCCGGCCGCGGAGGCCAGGGACCGGGGACAGCGCCGCAGCATCGCTGCTGTGACCGGCACCGCACTCCCTGGCCGGGTCAGCAGCGCGCCGGCTGACCGTCCCCCGGCCTCCCCGGAGGACAGGGACCGGGGCAGCAGCGGCGCCCGTCACGGCCGCGCCCCGCAGCGAAAGTGGTGCGCCGCGCCGGCACGGGTGGTCGGCAGAGGTGATCCGATGTGCGCGCCCGGGCCGCGATCGGCGAGCCCTGACGCACCACGCAGCCCTCTCCCCCTTCCCGTCGGTCGGACCGACTGTACTACTACTGTCTGGCTGGTGACCGGGTCACAGAGACCTCCAGTCACCGGCACAAACCACGCCATCACTGCCCGACTCCTGATCCGAGCACCAGCCGCCGGCAGCGGCGGTGACACGACCCGAGCAAAACGTCTGCTCTCGGCGCACCGACTCCTGCTCCTGCTCCTGATCTCCGGTCGGCCGGAAAGTGGACCACTCATCGTACGGCCCAGACGGTTCAACAGGGGGCATTTTCCGACGACAGCGAGAACATTGAGGTTAATGAATGTTTCCAGCCATGACCGAACAACTGTACCGAGTCTGAGCGACTGGAGAGCTATCGGTACCGTCAGAAGCAGCAGGACCAAGCGAGAAATCAAGTAAACGTAGTAAACGAATGTATTGTTCCAGAAAGAGCAACTGACAGGCAGGGGCGGCACTGTTAACGCACATTTTAGTTATGTAAAAGAAACTGCATACTTAATATTGTCGCAATATAATTCAGGTCGGGCGCAACCACCAGTTCACTCAGATTGACAACCATAGGAGTCCGTTATTGTTCAGTGGGGAGGAAACAAGCCAATTATCACAAGGTTTCTCCAGTTGCAACTGGCGACTCCTCCTATATGCCCTGCATCCGTCCTCACCTACCGCGTACCGCACTGACGGCGCGCCGTCACCGCTCCACCCGCCGCGCTGTCACCATCCCGCCGGATTTGGGGAGACCAGAAGCGTCCCACGGCTGCGCCCGGGCAGTGCCCGCCCACCCCGGTCGGTCGTGCAGCGCCGCGCCGGCACCTCGGCGGCGCGGCGCCCGCCGCCAACCAAACACCGCAACAAACGCACCAAACTCCCGAATACAGTCAGCAAAACACCAGAATGCAGTCCGCGGTCCGCGCGAGAAGCTGACGCCGCCGGCGCCGGGGCGACCCGCCGACCCGCGGACGGTCACCGGAGGCGACAATTTTGGAGCGCGCGCGCCGCCGGCGCCGGGCGGCGGGCGGGCCGGCCTGGAGCCGCCCAGCTGCGCCCGGCACCGACGGCGGCCGGCCGAACGGAACGGAACAGGCAGGTCAGTCGTGCGTCGGGAGAGCTCCTCGCCAGCGGGCGGCCCGGCCGGGCCGGCGACGAGGAGCCCGGCTACTTCTTCTTGGGGCCGCCGAACAGCGGCTGGCCCTTGTCCTTTCCGCGCAGCTTGATGCCTGGAGGGGGGAGGGAGGGAGGGGGTCAGGGAGGGCAGGCGACGGTAGGAACGTTAAACGTACTAACTCTAACTAGCCGCCTCAGCGACAGCAAATAATCCCAACGGAGGTTTCAATAGTAAAATTCTTACATTAGGAAAGAATGACGATCATGAGTGCCTAACGTGGTAGAAAATACAAAAGTCAGACAATAAGAATGAGCTGCTAAAGAGTTTAAAACAACACTACCAATGATCAAATTAATTAATGTCGTACAGAAGACCTCGCTAAACCTAGCCCTTATTCCTAAGCGGGTTTGAGTCGGAAAGGTGCAAATGTCCATAAAGGTACAAATGATCACTCACCGATGACCTTCTCGATCTTTCCCAGAATGACGTTGTTGGGGATAGCCTTTCCCTGCTCGTACTCCTGAATAATCTGCGGCTTTTCGTTGATTTTCTGAAATCGCGGTGGTGAAATCACCCAAATCAACGGTAATACGAGAGTTCGGTGGGCTAATAAATATACCATATGCATATATCAATATTCATTAGCCCACATTCATAGATAACATGAATCATATTATCTATGCCATAACAGATTCATGTTATCTATGCCATATTCTATAAAATATCTTCAACAGAAGCGCCAGAGATATTATACGTACTAATCTAAGCATTGGCAGTTGTGCG